TTTCTATTAAATGTAAATATTCTTTGTTTCTCTTTTTCATTACACAAGGTAGCATAATACAAAGTGAAATCAAACCACAATCAAACTAAATAAAGACACTGACTCTTTCCTGAAGCCAAACTCTGAAAAACTGTCATCCACAAACCTGTGTTAGGGTGGGCACGGTCGGCTGGCCTGTGGTTGTGACGACAGTGGCAGCCTGATGGAGGGTAGAAGCTGGGGGTGCTGGAGATGCTGAGGTAGGGGCTACAGAGGCTGTGGGAGAAGTCACTGTAGAAGGTGGTTGCTGCTTCTTTTTGAGTGTGTCCTTATAACACTTAGAGCAGAGTCCATCTGTGTTTGGGGATCCAAAGAATCCACAACCCATGCGACAAAGGATAGGACCAGTCTCAAGCTGATTGCTCTCGCGCTCCATCCTCCGGTCAATCTGGAAAGGATGACAGGCGGTTAGTTGTGACTGGCGTAAGAAGTTACAATATAAATCAAACATTAGTATGCCAAACAACCTTTGACAGGATTAAGAAACAAACAAAAAACAATAATAAGAAACCATACTGAAGGTATAGCTATCCAACAGTCTAAATTTGCACACGACAAGTACAGGCAAACTCCATTACCAGTAGTGAAAGCTAATAGGAAAACTGCAGCGCAGAGCAGAGCAAGTACAATTCCGGTACACATCACCCAATACTAGCTCATCAAGTCACTGTATGCCCAATCAGTGCGTAACCAATTAGGACAAGAAATGTTGCGTCATTTGATCCAACAAAAACATTCCCCTGGGTACATTATTAATTATTAGGTTGTGGATAAGATTTTGTATGACTAACATGTGTTTTGAAAGAAGACTTCCTGTGTGTTATGAAAATATGTATTAATAATCCAATTTCAATAATTTAAGGCCTCGCATAGTAGAAAGAACATTATAATGTTTTTAATCACACATTTCAAATAAAAGAATAAAGCAATCCACGTATGTGTAATGGTTATTTGTCTGAACTTGGGGCATTTCACAGCAAATAATATCAATATTTATTCTTTCATTATTCATATGATTTGAAACAAAAAGTGAATATCATAAATAAAAATAAACATACTACGTGGTGCTTAATTTAATAAGGTGGGAAAATTCTTGCATAATCAATATCTCCAAGTTTGAAAATTAAGATTTGCCATCGTTCATTAGTAACATTCATTTAGATAACTCGAATTCACTATGTCAAAGAGAGGACGTATTTTGTAATCTCACAAAATAAGCCTAATTATGAGACTGAATGCTAACATCTTTAGCAAACTGTTCTTGCTTATTTACATCTATACCTGGATATGCCAACCCCTCTTCTGAGCACTGTATAAGATACTTCTTCACTATTTCTGATACTTGTGTTGTTTTGACTATGTGAATCAAGGGCAAAACTTTGTCAATTAAATAACCCAAAAAATTAACTAGTTCTTCCTAGTAAACAAGCATCTTTCATATCAACAACAAACCAGGTGTTTGTGTTTTGGGATTAGGATCTGCAGTAAGCTATGGAGCCAGACACTGTGTCGCAAACATGGTCTTACAAGCATGGTCTCGCTTTTGGTCATCCTGGGCCACTCCATACGCACAACACAAGGAGTAACAGTGGCTCTCCTTGATGTAAATGTAAAACGTACCTGTTGCTCTCCTCCTGCCAGAGTTGTGGGTAGGGATGGGGTGGGCAGCCGACAGCAGCCGCCTCACTCCGCTGGATAAAAGACTGTGGGCTTAGATGCCTCCTCCTCCAACTTCACCTCTCACACAGCAAGCTCTGCTCACTGTTGCGACCACTCTGGTACAGATGATCTCTCTCACGTCTCTTGATAAGAGTTCTTCTGTCAGTTCCTGAGTAATGCTCTCCGTTTAGCCTTGTGTAACCTGGAAATGAGACAAGAAAGTTTATCAATTGGCTCTGAGTGAAATTATAAAAAGTACAAAATTTTAAAAAATGTAAATTACCATCTCTTAAAAAGTAGAACAAGAGCACATACATGAAAACACACTCTCCTGAGCATTATCATATGATAAGCTATCTTTCATCACGGTTTATTTATATTCAAAGGCTATAAAAGGCAAAGTTACATGAATGAACACCTGCGCTTTCCAGAGATGTGTTAGCTGATTTCTTGCGTATCTTTATGTAATTTAATTTTTTTGTGTGTGTTCTTCAGCCTTGCAAGCCAATCTCTGTTTTAGAACACGTGGAGGAGTGTAAGAGTTAAGTTTTCTGAGCATTTTCCTTCTCATTTTAGAACACAAATATGTAAAATGAAACTCTGTTTACTCATCATTAATTTACTGATCAAAAGGTTAGAAATTATTTGACTGCTTGACAGGGATAGAAAACAATATCTCTGGCTAGAGGTTGGAGCTGCTCGTGTTCTACTTTTAGTTTTGTACGTTTTATTCCTTATTGCTAACTTGCAAATACATTCCCGAGTATACTTTCATTCAATATACTTGTTTTACTATACTACTTCCTTGAAGTAATAATCCTGAGAGTAAATGGTCAACCTATGTAAGAATATCCAATAATCCACATATGTAGTTGAAGTTCTTCAGTCAATGGAGGAAAAGGAAATAATTTTACCCCTAATAGACACAATGAGCTGAGCCTTTCAAACAGAATCTAGATGAATTATCATATTTAAGCTGCCAACAGACCTTGAAAGAGAAAGTGTTTGCGACAACCCCTTTCACTTTTTTTCTCGAAGTTTAGAACCTTTGACAACCGTGAAACTGTATCAAAGCATCTGTCTCGGATTTCTCGCCTACAGGTAGAGATATTATATAAAAAAAAAAATGAAGGGAAAAGGAAGAAAAGTCCTTCGAAATGGAATAAATAGAATTCCAGCAACAATATGCATGGACTCGCTTTCTCAGTCTACGTGATTTAGGTCCGTTTTCTCTCCGTGTATTTTCTACTTTCATTCATACTCCTTAGCGGGGGGGACTGCGCTATTTTTACAACTAGTTCTTCTATACCGATTCTCATCTAGTCATCGGTTTCCTAATAAAAAAAAACGAAAGCTCGTAATATCCAGCCAAATAACGCCTCCGATAAGCGCAGGTAAAAGTGTCCAGCTATTGGCGCGTTTAACGGTACTGTGGAGGTGGGGGAGGAGAGGGTTGAGAAAGTAGGCCACCGTTCTACTTTCCGAAGGCCCGAGGCTAATTGTAATGTCGGACTCTCATTTTAATTTCACGATGATCTGCTTGTGTTTCTGTGGTCTCCCACCCTAATTCATGGCCCTCGGCTGGCTGAAACGGCCACGGGGAGAGAGGCCAGTCCGATTCACGTTCTCCGAGCGATGGCGTGTAGGAGCTCCATTGCGCTGGCCTTGGCGCCGATGCCGATGGTGAATGTGAAGACAAAAACGCGTCAACCGCAATCATCTCACGAATAATTCGGCGTCTACTCGTGTGTTTTCTTTTTCTCTCTCTACGCGAGTAAAGGTCCGTCCTGAAAACGAATCCATTTTTCGCTCAATCGAATCGAAGATGACTTCCGGACGAACCACGCCGAGATCTCGTTCGCAGCGATGCATCTTCTCCATTATAGTTCGGAGCCTCTTCCGGTCCGCTCTCGGTACAGGATATTACGTATAAGGAAAGACAGACAGAAATATGCATTAGCAAGACAATCGTAATACCCCACGACTCCTACATGGCGATGCGGACCTGGCTCTCTGCGGATGCAAGTAGCACAGCTCGCGAGCCTCGACGCGCGTCAAAGCCGAGAAAAATAAGTCTCGTTCAAAACACAGAGGCTGCAAGGCTTTCATCGCCGCACATAAAGGTGGGGTGACGAAACGCAGGCCCATGTCCCGTCGCTGGTCGTGGCTCAGTGACCACGCCCTCTGTTACCAAGCTACATCACACAACTATCCCCTTTAAGGGCAGCCAACCTACCCCCGCCCAACATTAAACACATCTCTACTCGCTACTACCACGACTCCCACAACCGTAGGTAAGCTCCACCTACACCCACGCCCATCAACGCTATGCAGCGCCTCCATTCATAAATCCCTCCTCTCTGGAAGCTGTTGCAATGCAGAACGCCGCCCACGCACACCAAGGAAACAAACGATGGCACAGGCGGCTTTAAACGTAGCGTGTGGATACGGCGCACACGCATGTACAACTGATGTAACACAAAAGCCAGATAGGGCGGAAGAGTAAAGGTGCTCGCGCTGCCGCCTCGAAATGTCTCCGGCGACTGACGGGCCTTGGCGCCGGGTCAAAGGTCAAGAACGTTCTAGGACGACTGGCAGGAAAGTGAGAAGCAGGAGACGAAGAACGGTGGGAGGAACGTAGGGTGTGTGTGTGTGTGTGTGTGTGTGTGTGTGTGTGTGTGTGTGTGTGTGTGTGTGTGTGTGTGTGTGTGTGTGTGTGTGTGTGTGTGTGTGTGTGTGTGTGTGTACTTGACAGCAAGTACGTATTGGATCATTCACGTATGAAAATGAAATGCCTAAGGTACTACCAAACAGACAGACAAAGAGCTTTATTTTTAAACAAATATAAGAAAGAGGCAAAGAGAAACAGGAAGAGGGAGGAAGGAGGGAGGGGGAGGGAAGGAGGGAAGGAAGGAAGGAAGGAAGGAGGAAGGAAGGAAGGAAGGAAGGAGGGAGGGAGGGAGAGAGAGTAAGAGGGAGTAGAGTAGAGGGAGAGAGAGAGAGAGAGAGAGAGAGAGAGAGAGAGAGAGAGAGAGAGAGAGAGAGAGAGAGAGAGAGAGAGAGAGAGAGAGAGAGAGAGAGAGAGAGAGAGAGAGAGAGAGAGAGAGAGAGAGAGAGAGGAGAGAGAGAGAGTAAGAGAGAGAGAGAGAGAGAAGAGAGAGAGAGAGTAGAGAAAGAGGAGATAGAAGAGAAGAGAGAGAGAGAGAGAGAGAGAGAGAGAGAGAGAGAGAGAGACGAGAGAGAGAGAGAGAAGAGAGAGAGAGAGAGAGAGAGAGATGACAGCCTGACAGACGAGGGGTAGGAGGTAGTTGTTTGTATGCCGTGTGTGTCGCAAGATCACAAGATAACCAACCATGTTATCAAAGGAAAAAAAAAAAATCCCAAACGAACTCGTCCTCTCCTAAGCATGAACCAAAAAAAAAAGCCCTAAATAATTCCAGCAAATGACGCCACGCACGCATAACCAAATCTGATCTGCACGTACCAATGCCACATGTAAAAAGCAAAACCTTAAAAATTGAATAAATACATAACATTATCGCTTATTAATGATAACGTGCGACCGAACCCCGGTGCCAGCTGATTAGTTCACCCACCATAACACTGATAAAAAAGACCCGAGTTTGATAGCCACCAGTCTCGGTAATCGATCGAATGTCAACGCTGATTAGTTATATACATTGTGTATAAACAATTACACAATTCACCTGAAAAAAAAACCCGGGCCGCCTGTTACTCAAACCACCCTAATCAAACAATACAAACAGACACACGAACGCACACATATCCACTTACTAACCCGCACGAGAAAGCGACACCCGCGAACGCCCAAACACGGCGGCGTACAACGTGACACCGGCCAACATCATCATCTACATTACTACTCGACGATATTCCGAAGAGGAGGAGGCTGCAGGCTGCCTACACGGGTCCGTTCCCCAGTCCCACCCTCGTCAGCTTAATATCAATCCCGGGGAAGATACTCGGCAACACGGGCTTTCGAAGGCAGAAAAGACGCCTTATATAACCTTCAATCCGCTTTTTTTTTCCTTGGGTCCAAAGTCTAACCTTGCCGCTGCAACCCCTGGCCCCGGCGCCGCTGCTGTTATTCCGAGCATCCGTGGGCGCGGGAGGCGAGAGCGCCCGAGAGAGGGGGACGGCGATGACATACAGAGCCCCCCCCCCCCCCCCCCCCTTCGCCGGAGCGTTAGAGCAAGCCGATATTACGAGACGTTTGACCGCCTGACGTTGCGTCGCCGCCCGCACGTCGTTCGCGCTGCCGAGCCAGCGAGGGAAAAACTTATGCAAGAGTTTGTCAAGCAGCCAACCACGAAGAACAACCGCAGTTGCTAAACGCCTTGCTTGAGCAAGAGAGAAGAGAACCGAGACGGAAGATGATGACGGCTGACGATGATAATGATGACGAGGACAGGTGTCGCCTCATCGTGGCGTCAACACCCAACGCCAGCACACCGGGCACTGTCTGTAAAACAACCCTGGTGCAGAGCGGACGGGCCCCAGAGCACGCCCTTGCTACGTAGAGTGCCACCCACTGAACACAGAACAAGAGATTGAGATCCTGAACTATATACCGTTCTAATATGTTAATTTCCACCTTTCAGACTTAGCAGGAGGTCAAGCTGACCCACACGACGCCCCGCCCGCCGCGACCGCAAGACCCGACGTACAGACGGCACGACGGACGTCAAGGAAGTTTCACCCCCTGACTTCGCCCGAGTAAATCCCCGGCGGCCAACATGTATTGACCCATCCTTCGGAAAGTGATTGTAAACTGCGCCCCAGTTGAGGGCGACGCGGAGCACTCGCACTCTCCTCCTCTCTCCTCCTCCACGTGCCAAGACTCGAAATGACTGCCACATGCCCCACCCCACCGCCCACCCGCAGACAACCCCCCCCTCCCCCCGCCGACGCCCGGGCATCGGAAATTGGTCACGAGATGGACCAGCCCGGAGCGCCAGACCCCTTCCGCGCCGACAGCAACGCGGCAATTACCCGGGGAGGCGAGGCCTTGCCGAACACTTTCTACAGCGAAGACGCTTGGTGTAACCGCCGCTGGGAAACGAGTCCCCGGCCCACCGCGCTCGAGTGCCCACCCTCCTCCCGCCGCCCGCACATCACGGGACGCGCCGACGCCTCGCGAGCTCTTTCCTCTCCGCTAATTGCTCAAGGAACCGCTTGTTG